TCCTAATACACTAGATGGCGCTAGAGGCAAGGCGAATCAGATTCCCCCCCCAAAAAGGCGGGGGTTGGGTGGTTTTGACCAGCAAAGTCAAAGTTATTATATATGGTAAATTCAAAAGGCTTTAGTCTTTATCAAGAATCGTTGTGTCAACATCTTCAGAAAGGTGAGCGAATACTGCCAGTGATAAACATCTTAATATCAGGATAGTGTAAGATTTTTTTGTAGAAGCTTTCATACTGTTAGTGTGACCAACTCTTAAGATATCTTAGATTGGGGCCCAATCTAAAATATACGTGTTGCTACAGAAGTGCCACAGAACAATGAGCAACCTTAAGCTTTATTCCCTGTCACGAATTCTGAGACAATTCTATTGCACTGAAGGGAAGTCTTGGGGGGATAAAAGGGAGTGTAAATGACACATTTTCAGATGTATTTGATGGTGAGGAAAGTGATGGGGGGCCTTTAGAGGTGTGTTGGTGTTTGAAAATTAGCAATAAGTATACAGAAGAGTAACCAAGCTTAAAAAAAAAAGAGGCAATTATTCATTCTAAGAAAAACAATGTACAGAAAGGAAAAGTACTTTCTGACTTGGCTGTGAACACTGTTTACATGGTTCTAATAATAGAATCCTGGAATACTGATATCAGTGGCAGGGTAGGGGGAGAAGTTGAATGACTGCTTAGTTTTCATCTACCTTAACGGAGTGTGACTAGTTAATGCCTAACATTCATGTATCATGGAACACTGACCTATTTAGAAACACGGAAATAAATATCAGCAGAAATAACTAAAGTAGTTAAGGTTGTTGCCTCTAGGGAGGGGATCGGAGGTTGGGTAGTGGAGTGGGGCAGAGACTATCGGTTTTCCTTAAAAATGCATAGTGCTATTATTCAGCCTTGAAAAGAAGAAAAAAATTGGACACACATGACACCATGGATGAACCTTGATGACATTTGCTGAGTGAAATAAGTGAGACACCAAAGAACAAACACTGTAGGAGTCTACTTCCATGAGGGACCTAGTATAGGCCAGTTCACAGAGAGGGAAAGGAAAGTGGTGGTCACTGGGGTTAAGGGGATGGGGGGGTGTGGAGGGCATCATTGTTTAATGAATACAGAGTTTCAGTTGGGAGAGATCAAAAAGCTCCCAAGACAGATGGTGGTGATGGTTGCACAACAAGGTAAATGAGCTTAATGCCACTAAATTGTATGAATAAATGGCTGAAATGGAAGGTTGTATGTTAGGTATGTTTCTGCACAGTAAAAAAGCAAAGTAAGAAGAAAAATGATTTATAGTACTGCTTGAATTTTAAACAGCCATATGTACATTTTAATTTCATCACATTAATTTTTAGAAAGCTTTGGATGCATATCTGAAAAGTTTTTGTATGCGTTGTGAGCGTGAGTGTTTGCACATAGATTTTTATGATACGATTTGGGCCACTCGGGCCTTTTTTGTTTTTATCCAGCTCTTACCTGTATTCTCCTTAGATAAAAATGTTAGATAAGCTAGTCTCGAGTCAGGGGAGTATTGCTGAAAGTAGGTATTTTATGAATACATTTCAGGGGAATTTGAGATGCCCGGTAACTAAATGGAACACATGAACCCTAAAAAAATGTGCAGATGCATTTATGCAGGAATTTCCCTTTTCTGACCTCTGCTACTCTTACTGGATATTCTGGGCATTTTGCTGTGTGGCCACCTGCTGAATGGCTTACTGGAATTTGTCCCCACATTTGTGCTGGGACCGGGTGGGACTCTGAGGGAAGTGAAGTTGTATCAGGTGAGTACCTGTGATGTCAGAGCTGATTTCTAGGTCATGAGCTTCTTTTTACCATCACTCTCCTTAACCTGGCCCAAATAGGAGTGTATATATTTGCTTCTTTGCAGTTAGGAGCAATAAAATGCCAATTAGCTTGGCTATAAGAAGTTGACTAGTAAAGTACAATTCTAATTTAAATCATCATATCTTCAGTTTGCAGATGAGAAGGCAGCTCTAAGAAGAAGACAATGGAAAATAACTTTATATATCCTTAGAGACATCAAACTGCCTTCCAGCCTTTAAGTCATGCTTCTTGGTTTTGACAGGTTACATTTACCTTCAGCGGTTTATTGCTCTAAAAACAGTGTTCTATCTCATTGTCATCCCATCTAAATTTTCCTTTTTGTTCACAGTGTGAGATGAGGACAGAAGCACGGCGAAAAAATCTCCTTATTTTGATTTTGCATTACTTAACACAAGAAGGGTATGTTACATTACAAATGTTTACAGAGATGAATCCTCTTTCCCTGACTCCCACTTTTCCAGATACACGCTTAACAAAATAGTTCATAGAATTTATTTTTTAGAATAGTTTTCTATTTATAGAAAAACTGAGCAGAAAGTATAGAGAGTTCCCACCTACTGGGAATCCCCCAAGCCAGTCTCCCCTATTATTAACCTCTTATATTGGCGTGGTACATTTGTCACAACTGGAGAACCAATCTTGATACATTAATGTTAGCTGATGTCCATAGTTTCCATCAGGATTTACTCTTGGGCTGTATAATTCCGTGAGCTTTGACAAATGCATAATGTCATAGATCTGGCATTGCAGTATCATATCCAATAGCTTCGCCCTAAAAATCCCTTGTGCTCTGCCTATCGATGCCCTCATGTTCAGCAACACAGACACAGACACAGACACAGACTTTTATTGCCTCATTTACATAGATATTATTCCCATTACGCATTTGAAAACTTTAACAAAGCTACCCTGTTCCTGAAATACCTCCCCTTTCCCCTTCAGGTTTCAGCCCTATCAAATAAGATTCCCCAGGGTCCCGCTGCTGGGTATCTACACAGAGATAATGCTCTTAGTCCTCAATTCTCCTTCCCTAAAAATAAAGGTATCGCATTTACCTGATGACCTGTGCTTGGCTCTCTTTTCTGGGTAATGCCATTTGTTGACTGGCAGGAGAGGAGATGGAAAAGCGTTTGAGTTTGGCCACCTACCTGATTCAGAAACGTGCAAGCCCTTGCCATGAAGGCTGAAGGTGTTCCGGGTTTTGTGAGGAAGAGAGCTCATCCACTATTTACTTTTGAGTTTTCTTTCTTTCCAAGCCTCGGCCAGGAAGAAAATATTTGGGTTTCAGGCTTAGGGCTTGAACTTTCAAGTTAAGGCAGCAGTTCTCAACTGGGGTAATTTTGCCCCTTGGGGGACATTTGGCAATGTCAGGAGACGTTTTTTTGACTGCCACAATGGCACCTAGAGGGAGAGAGCAGGAATGCTGCTAAACGTCCTTCCATGCACGTGACAGCAACCCACAACAGGGTTATCCAGCCCCAGGTGTCAACCCTACTAAGGCGCTGTATCAGGAAGAACCGTGAAAACAAAGACAAAGAAAAGTCAGCGTAGTTCATCCCTTCTGTTACAGCGTTTACTGTTATTCACAAAGCACGCATTTCCCCTTTCTGCCACAAGATGGCCCCTTGCATCTCACATTAATGAAAATTCAACTAGAGTTGATCATTGTCCTGAGAATCCCCTGGTTAAGGTACTTATGAGTGGATTCTCAAGATGAAAAGTAAACTTTCAGAAAAGTAGACCTGCCCTTAACAAAATGTTAAGAATTTATCTTCACAAAGAGGATAGATTATAGTGGATTGAAATAAACAATCAGAAAAAGCTTTGTAGAGAAGGTGATGCGAGCTGGTCTTGAAAGATGTCTGGAGTATGGGATATGTATGGAGCATGGATAGAGAGACATGATGGACGAGGATGTTCTAGCAGGTGCAGAGAGAAAGAAAAGAAAGAAAGAAAGGGCATGAGCTAAGTGGAACAATCAGGTAGACAGAAAGACCAGAGGTTGACTCTCAATTGACACTTACAATGTCTTTAAAATTAGCAGGGTCACCGGAAATAATCATGACCACCTCGTTTAAGAAAGTTCAGGCTTCCAACGGACCTGAATCTGGGGCAGAGAAGAGAGCATAATAAACAACGTTTTCTCCTACTTTCCCAGACTGGAATCAAACAGCAAGAACTCTGTCCTGCAGCAGGAATTCTTAATCTGAGGTCCTTGGATGAAACTGTATGTTAACTTGTGCATATCTGCACACTTTTCAGGAGAGAGTTGTTGGTTTCAATAAGAAGCCAAGAGCTAAGATTAAGACCTGGAGAGTCTTTCCACTTTCAGAGTGAGACAAAGCATTTGCTTTTATTGCTAAGACCACTGAAGTTGGACCGCCCTACAACTGAACAGGTTAAAAATGACAGTGAAGAACGCCTGGTGAAGATGGCCCTTACATCCCCAGTCAGCTGCTAGTGTCATGTGCGAGTGAAGAAAACACTACCAGGAATAATACATCCAAGCCGATGATGTCTTCTTATGCTAAATTTCCCTCAATGATATTGATCAACATAGTTTCAGAATTTCCTTCAAAACTCAAAACCTACCCTTTTCAATTGCTTCAAAATCATGGCAGATCTTGCCTCTTGAGGTTGAATTTGGGTTTATCAATTGCCCGATGTTATCTAAAAGGAGTGCTGGTGAATAAAGAGGTAATAGAGTTGGGCAAATACCCACTTTAGGCTAAAAATGAGTTAAGGTAAAGCATAAAACGTTTTCTTAGTTGATTTCCTTATTTGACTTTTATGCATTTCCAAAAACATTTTGAACAATGATGACATCATTAGAGTAAGTATGTAACTTCCCGAGGCAACTGCTTTGAAAAACACTACGTGCATATCCTTACCGTATGTGGGGCTTCTTACTCTATAGGTGAACATCACGTATCCTATTGTCATCTAATGTACTATTTAACCTAAACTTACTATTTGTATTGAACATGTTTAGACTTGTCGTGCCTGTTTGCCTTTATTCATTTCACCCAGAGTTAATTCTTTTGTTTTGCTTTTTTCTTCTGTGAAATGGCCAGATACATCGATGCAGCCAATGCTTTGGAGCAAGAAACTAAACTGGGGTTACGACGCTTTGAAGTTTGCGACAACGTTGACCTTGAAACTATTTTGATGGAATATGAGAGCTACTATTTTGTAAAATTTCAGAAATATCCCAAAATTGTCAAAAAGGAATCATTAGACACAGGTACATGGCTATTTTCTAGAAATAAGGTTTTCTCTCATCTTTAAGATTGGTGTTTCTTCCTCATTGTATCCCCAGATGGATGCTACAGCCACCCTGCACTGAAAGAATAGACCAGAAAGACCATGTAGCCTCTAGTAGATCCTATACAGATAACGTCAGTGTGATTGTCTGGGCCGTGACGTCCCTATAGCCATGCTGCTATTTGTTCAAGGAATGAATATTTTAGGACAAGGAGAGCACAACCCCAGTATATTACAGGTACTTTTTAGAAAACCAACACTACTTTCATTTCTTTAGAGATGAAAAAGAGCTGTTGGAAGAGGATAAATGACAGAAGACCTTTTTGTTGTTATTGTTAGGAAGACCTATTATCTATCTTGAAAATAACATGAAAATGAGTATTGGTGAACCTAATAGCTCATGTATAGATAATGAAATGCTTTTGAAAGCCATCAATCCAGATAATGATCAATAGAATGTAAAGACCCATATAGGTTAGTAGTCAAGGAGGATGGCTGGAGGAAAGATGTAAAGTGAGGGCCCTATGTTCTGTAGTAACATTGACTTAGAAGTCTGTAAGTGGGGGAAGTAATTATAAACCAAGGGAGATCATTGTCCTGTTTACAAGGCACTTGTTAAGCCACAGACTTTAACATTTCATGTGGGGACCAGGAAACTGAGAGGAATGTCAATTAAAAATAGCCGGGGGCGATTCTCCTAGCTGGAGGGGATATTTTATGTGAGTTCCTTTCCAGTGCCACGTTCAGAGTTCCCAAGTCCTTGGCTGGGTGTTGGATCTGGGTTTTGGCAGAGAAAACACTGATGCCTAACCACTGAGCCACCAAGACTATCACTGTCACAATCTACTCTCTAGATTTCTGTTCTTTTTTTATTTTTTTCTTTTTTTTTTAAGGTTTTATTTATTTATTTGACAGATAGAGATCGCAGGTAGGCAGAGAGGCAGGCAGAGAGAGAGAAGGAAGCAGGCTCCCTGCTGAGCAGAGAGCCCGATGCGGGACTCGATCCCAGGACCCTGAGATCATGACCTGAGCCGAAGGCAGAGGCTTTAACCCACTGAGCCACCCAGGCGCCGCTAGATTTCTGTTCTGATCTAACTTGGAACCATAGTCTCCTGGGATACTGGGCACAGTGTGTTTATTTTAAGATAAATTGGCAGAGTACAACTAATAAGTCTCCATGAATTGCCCTGGTGTCCCACAGACCACAGCAAAATGGTGTCAAGTTCATGAAAACTTGAAATGATTATTGCCACCTGGCCCACACTGAGGTCGCCACCAGGTTCATGGTTTCCAACATGTTTCATATCTGAGGGCTTTGGGGTCCTCCTCTGTGTGGAAATTCTTGGCAAACATGGGCTTCTTTCTCTTTGCTGGTAGTTTCACTTCTTTCTACGTGAGAATAGCTTTGACCGCCCAGATTCTACAAGGCTGTAACACAAATTTTAAGAACAATGTGAGAGGACAAACATTACTGACAAATCACTTTCTCTTAAAAATTAACTTTCCTTTTTCTCGCAATATTTGTTTTGCCACAGTGGAAAATAATTTACCACAAAGAAGTGGAGGGAAGACCAGAAGGTAAAATGAATGGTAATTCGTCTTGGCCAACCCAACTCTAGGAGTTTGTGGGATCCCTTTCCAGAAGATTCTCCAGCTCAGCTCCATGTCTGTCTACCAGCAATTGCAGACTATGGTCATGTGACCTTGGTGGGCCCAGCCATGGGTTCTCCTCACGTTACAGGTGTCCAGGATATGGGTCACTGTCTGTTGGTTCTCCTGGTTTTATCACAGTTAACTGAGTTCATTGGTGCTCTTTCCAGGCTCTGTGCTCCTCATAAGGAGTACAGACCTCAGAGATGAAAAGATCCAGGTTCAATTCCTGGCTCTGCTACTCACCAGCTTGGAGCAAGTTTCTGACCCAAAGTGAGGTCCCCACATATAGAGGGCCCCATGCATGCTTCATGATAATACTCTCAGTAATGTTCTGCCTGAGGCTACCTTTGCTTTGTGCTCTTCTTTGGGAACGGTTTTATTGTTTTGATCAAAGTGTTATCCTTTTATTTATAGTTTCCATAAAGCTAGTCAGACTCTGACAATGAAAGATAACTACTTTTTTAAGATTTTATTTATTTGACAAACAGAGAATGACACAAGCAGGGGGAGCAGCAGACAGAGGGAGGGGGGAAGCAGGCTCCCGCTGAGCAGGAAGGCTGATGCGCGGCTCCATCCCAGGACCCTGGGATCATGACCTGAGCCAAAGGCAGAGGCTTAACTGACTGAGCCACCCAGCGCCCCCGATAATTACTTTTGAACAGAAATGGTGAGGAGCATTTTAAGGGGCCAGCTTTGGCATGCATTTGGATTCTGATTATTTTCCAGCCAGCCGCTCATGCCTGGAACTTCCCCAGCATTCCCTATGTGGCAGAACATTCCATGAGCAAGTGTCTTCTGAGCACTTTGCTTCTCTTTAGGGATGGAGCTTGACAGCTTAGGTGTCTTCAGCTCCTCTCTGAGTAAGTGTTTGTACACGGCAACCATAGAGGTCAGCCGGCAAATGGCTGGAGTCAGGAAGGATAATTAGGAAAGTAATGAATGCTGTTTATAATTTTATAATTGAAGACAGCTATTGCAATGAGAGGTTGTGTCATGAGACTAGCCATTAACAAATGAAAGTACCTTTTCCTAATTTGCGCATCTCACACCAGAGAGCAAGCTCCCAGTGTACCGATTTGCCCATGACCCAGGGGAGGTATGGTTATTTCATGGGATGGGTAACAGAATTAGGATGCCAAAAAAATCTTGACAATTTGGAAGATGGGCCCAAAATAACAAGATGAAATTTAACAAAATAAGGTATAAGCTCTAACCAAAGATTAAGACAAATAACTCCTTCATTACAAAATCAGAGACCTAGAAATTGGAATTAATAACAGACGCGGTGTGAGTCAGCAGAGTGATGTGATTGCCCGTGTGATCTCGGCCTCAGTGGAAATGCAGTGTCCACAGAGTGGGAGGTGACTCTGTTCTGGTCAGAAGACAGTGGACAAAGGGAAAGTGACCAGGATGAGGATGACTCTAGGAGGTAGGGTTAGTCTTAAAAACGATTGGAGCAGCTGGTGATGTTTAGCTTGAAGAATGGAAGACTTGGGGAGGAGCTACCCCTAGAACAACACGGTACCAGTCTTCACTCTCTAAAGAGGATTGAGCCTTCTTTGTAGAATTCCACAGGGCACACCTGGGAGTGGCAAATAAAGTTACAGTAGGGTGAGTCTGGTTTCATATTAGGAAGAATTCTACAATCGTTAGAGCTGACAGGAAAGGAATCATGCTGCTCTGTACATTAAGCACTTGTCTTTGATTGTGTTAAAGCAAATTTGTGAATCAGTTGCCTCTAAAGGGAAATCAGAGTGGGGAATCAGACTCCCAGTTCCCTGCCAGCCCTGCAATGACGTTAGGCAAGTTTCAGTGTATATATGTATGTATGTGTATATATATATATATATATATATATATATATATATATATATATGACCTCACTTCATTTAAATCAATGCTATTAATAAGGGTTTACACTTATAAAATGTTTGGTATTCATTTCCTAGATAATTTCATTTTTGTGCCAGCGAAAGGCCCGAGGGACAGGCATTTTTATTCCTAATTTACAGATGAAAAACAAATGCCGTACACCTCTTACGACGCTCACCCCTGTGGGTTAACCCTGGGGTCATCGCGTATGGACACTGGGGGTATCATTGGCATGGGCAGTCTTGCTGGCCAAACACCTGTTTACATTAGACACAAACAACTTTTTCTTTCTCGCAAAGACATGGAGAAATAGCTGCTCTCTGAGACCCCTTAGTACATGGGAGACACGCTTCCAGTGAAACTCCTGCAAACACATCTCACGTCTAAGGACAAAGGAACTGAGAAAACGAAACAACTTCTGCTATGGGGTTCATGTGGTGCCCTCCACGCATCCTGCCTCTCTCTGATTCCATCTCCTATCCAACAATATTCCAGTATTGAATTTTAGGTCTCATGGTGAGGACCTCGTGTACAAATTTATTTTACTTTTGCATTGAGGTAGGTAAAACATATAACATATATGCCATGCAACACATATATACACATACATGCTGTCAAACCCATATATACTCTTGTAAGTGCCACACCCCAGCACCCCCCGCCTCCTAATAGGTTCCCTTTCCAGCCAATACTCCCCATCTCCACCAGAGGCAGCCACTATCTGAATTTCCAGCCCCGTTGATTTGTTTTGCTTTAAGTGAACAATATTTGGTGAACATTTGTTTTGCAAATATGAAGATCCGTGACAAAAGAGATGAGGTAAGGTCTGCTTCCCTTCCACAAATCCCCTCTAGGTACACCCCGCACACCAGATCAAAACCACTGGCAAATCCCTAGGCTTTCTCTTATCTCCCCACAACCTGCCCCTTGGTCTGCTACTGTTCTTTAAGGAAAGTGGGAATGTTGGAGAAATGCTTGTGAAGCCATGTGTTCTTGAAATACAGAGCTATGTGCAGAAGGGCTGGAGTTGGGTGGCATGTGGGGAAAGGAAGAGGAGGTCAGGGGTCTCTGGGAGGAGGTGGACACTCTAGCCTGGTCTTGGAGGACCCCAAGGGGTAGACTGGAGCAAGCCAGAGCCAGGATGGATGGGGTGGGAGGACAGAGCAGATGGAGGCCCCAACTGGGGTACATATGCCGAATGCTTTTTTTTTTTTTTTAAGGTGCTACACAAGTTGTTTAGTTATCTCAAATTAAGTGGTTAAGATAATTTCCTCCAAGATCTTTGTTCCCTCCCCTAGAGTGATGAGCGACAGCTGTCAAAATCTTCCCAAGATCAGTCAGCAGAGGCCACGGTCCAGAACCACAGCGGGGAAATCGGGGGATGCCAAATCCCTCCATAAGGAGCATCCTAAACAGGTCTGGACAGCTTTGCTTGGTGTTGGTAAAATTGCAGGTGGCTGAGAAATTGCTCCAAGAAAAAAAGTCACGTTTATTTATTCAAGGACGTATGTTTTTAAAATGCTGTGTGATTGTGTTAAATTGTAGATTTTCTTCTGGATTAAAACCACAGGCAAATCTCTAGTCTTCCTAATGCCTTCTAATTTGAGTGGGAGGTCTCCTTCCTCCCCTTAGCTTTACCCCCCGGTCAGAGTCCTGGATGACAGGCTTTGAGGGGTGAGCCCTGGACCCAGAAAGAGCAGGGATCCTGGTTGCTACAATGCTCAATCATCCCATTTGAGGTAACTGTAGGTTACAAGTCTTCCTGTCCCAAAGCACATCCAGGATGAGGCCAAAGATTAGTCAGGAATGGCTCCTCCTTTCCATGGGCTTCTCCAAAGTACACATGGTCGGTCCCCCTCCGGACCTCCACACTGGACGATCTCAGGAACAGGGTGGGGAGCAAAAGGCAAGAGCCCAACAGGTGGGTGAGATCAATGGCTCCTGACTCAGGGGATCCATACCTAGAAGCTCTTGGGTTCAGACAAACATACCAGGTTTCAGAGGAAAGAAAACCTAGTGAAATTGTGAAAAGGAATGGCAAGAATGGCTGTCAGAGATGCCCGGTGGGATAGAAAGGCGTTTAATCATGAAATTCAGTTGTCGGAAGGAATCTCTCCCTCTTAAAGAGGTTGTACACTCCTGGCCAGTGTAATCTGCCTCAGGGGGAAGGGGGGGGGTGAGATGGGGCAGGAGAATTCCACAGGTGGAGGGTTGAATATCAACTCTGCTCCATCTCTAAACTCAGCCCCTCCCGCATCACACACCTCTGGTCACAAGAGAAAAGTCAGTGAGTGGGTCTGGGTTGAGGCACCATATGGTTTCCTTCACTGGAAAAGCTGCTTGGAACCCATGGCTTCCACTGACAGCCCTTCCCACACGGCTCAGCCAGGGAGTAAATTCGTCTTGCTGGGACTACACAGAAGTGGCCCAATTACACACAGGGTTTCCTTTCACTGAACTGAGAGCCAATGTGTGAATTTTGGACGATGGAATGGGCAGTTTCCACTAGCATCCGTCACTTCTTTCCACGGCTGACTTCTCGTTGTCTTCCTCTTTCTTCAGGAGGCTGTCAATAATCCCCACGCGGAGAGTGCTGACTTTGGCTTGAGCATATCAGGAATCAACAAAGGCAGTGGAGAAGAAAACGTCCGCCCACAAAAAGTAAGTAGAATTCATGAACATAGCACCAAAATGGGAAATTGCTTTTCTTTCTAAAAACGAAAATAAAAAATGTTATCGTTGTCAAATAGAAAAGCTAATACAGAATGGTCAGAGCCTGGGTGTGAGGTGAGCTGAGGAGAGCACTGGCTGAGGGGTTGAGCCCTGGGGTTCTGGTCTGAATCTCCTTTCTGGATGAATGGTCTTGAAGGAATGGCCCCATCTCTAAGAAGCTCAAGTCTCCCTATTTGTAAGCTCAGGGGTTTGGCAGCGACGGCTTCTAACGTCACGGTCAGCTTAAACGTCCTGGGACTGAAATGGGAAACGTCGGTGTTCTGGGTTATTGAAGGAGTTATGGTGGTGCACACATCCTTCTCTTCCTTTGTGTGTGGTACCTGACTAGTGGTGGCCCTTTTCCTCCCTGGAGGTGTGGCTCTAGGCTTGAGTGTCATTTCATGTGAGCCATGAAACCTCAGTTGAAATAGGGTAGATAGGGGCACCTGGGTGGCTCAGTGGGTTAAAGCCTCTGCCTTCGGCTCAGGTCATGATCCCAGGGTCCTGGGATCGAGCCCCGCTTCGGGTTCTCTTCTTGGTCGTGAGCCTACTTCCCCCCTCTCTCTCTGCCTGCCTCTCTGCCTGCTTGTGATCTCTGTCTAATAAATAAATAAAATCTTAAAAAAAAAAAAAAGAAACAGGGTGGATATTGTCCCTGATAGCTCTACCCCTTTCATAATGAACCTCATGTCTTGATCCATAAATAAGAGCGGCTCAGACAGAAAAGACTCAGACTGGGTAGATGGAGGAAAAAGGCCAGTTAACACATGTCCTTTGAGGATGAGAAGAAGCAGTATCAACATCAACAGATTTCTCTTGACTGTAACTTCCGGGGTTGTACTCCTTGTAAGAGCCATCGTTCTTTCTCTGGGCAAGTTCTCAGACTACAGGACGTTGGTTGGATTTAGCTCCGGCCAGCTCTTCTTGGGTAAACGAGACTCTGGCTGTGTGTGCCTGAAGGGGAAGCTGGGAGCATCTCCCTGAAGTCAAGGAGCTCTCACTGGCCTCCAGTGGCTCCCTGGAAGGGCCTCGGTGATACGGGTGATCGCTGGAGATGATGCGTTCAGATCAGTGCCTCCCGCGGAGAAACGCTTCCTGGTTTACCTCTGCCAGTGTCATTGTGTTTTGAGTCACTTTGGCCTAGTAATTCTGTGGCCCTAGTTTCTCCCATGAACATCTCGTGTTGATATGAATAGTCGTTTCTGATCAGGTCACAAGGAAGGGACCATTTAACCCAGCACTTAACCTTTGAAGGAGTCTGGTCATAAATTCTCTTTCCAGCAGAAGTGTCCTGAGCAGAGTGTCCTTAAAATGCAGATGGGTTTCTCCCTAGCACTACAGATGTTCATAAACTGAATGAGGGTATATGGCCAGGGGCCCGTCTCCAAAATGGGCCTATCTTGGCCGTGTTAGGGCCCCTAGCTTCGGCATTCCTGGACCCCCTACAAATTTAGTAGGCATGTTGTTCTTAAAGGCACTAGTCAATTTGCCTAGGTTCAAAACCCTGCTCAGACTTTCCCAGCTGTGTGACCTTGGGCAAGTTGCTCAATCTTTCCAAGCCTCGTTTCTCTTTCTCTGGAAAATGGAAATAATCAGTGCCTACTTTAAATATCTTGAATGGAGAGTATTAGCCTCGTGCCCGGTGTATGACATGGAGGTCTGCACATTACCCGTGCGCGCTGGCTACTGCTGTTGCTGTTTGTTTTCTTTACGCATCCTTACTTTTTCTTTCTGCCTGTCCCTTGCGGGGACGGCGAGGGGCCCAGGGAGGTTGGGAGACAGACATCGGGTTTGAATCCTGGCCTTAAGCCACTTGTAACCTGGGACTCTACTGAGTAGAGAAGGTACACGACTGTCAGTAAGTGGGAGCTATTGTCACCCTTGTGCCAGTGGGTTCTTCCCGGATGTGGGATGTTTCAAAGGACCAGACGATGTAGGGGAGGCAGACCTGGAAGGAAGCAGAGGGCATTGTGTCAGAAAAATGCTTGTGAGTTTTCATTCAAACCAACTTCATTCTGAAGGGTTTATCTGCAACTTAATTTTCTTTTCTAGAGTGTCCAACTTGAGGAAATCACCTCATTCATGATTAGTGCAGGTCCTTTTTAAGGCCTCACTCTAAGTTTGCCCTACGTACCAACATACATAAATGTGTCTTGATTTACTGAAGCTGAGCTGTTAGGGATAGTCTTTCATGTCTTAATGGTGTAAGTAACCATTACTCCGTTTCAGGGCCAAATCGTTGACTTCCGAGGGCTGCTCACAGATGCCATCAAAGGAGCAACCAACGAACTTGGCTTGAACAGCTTTGACTGTAACCCAGACCCCTCAGTAAGTGGCTAAGATGCGACATTGCAAACTGCCAACCTCCAGACAAACTTCAGAAAGATAATTTTGAGTCCAGAGAAACCCTGAGATCAAATCGAAGGTCACAGCAGCCTGCTACCACTTATGTCACCGAGATCCATGCCCCGTTTCGCTTTCTAAATTATGAGCAATATTGTAATGTAAAGCTTTCTGTTCCCACCGTCAGGAACGATTGTTGAAACCTCTGAGTGCATTTATTGGCATGAATAGTGAGATGCGAGAATTGGCAGCCGTGGTGAGCCGGGTAAGATCTGATATTCAATTCACAAATTTACGGAGGCGGATTGGGGCTCCTGGAGCATTGTGGGCTGCTTCTTTTATTAATAACAATAAATATGATCATTTATTTATAAAGTGCCCCCACTTGCAAAGGCACTCATATTGTTTAGAGGCACAATAATGCATGATAAATAAATTATAGAATCATAAAATTACAATACGAAAAGCCCACCATCTCACTACAGAGGCCAAGAAAACCAAAAGGGAAAAAGACTTAGAAGGGAAGGGACAGGTGAAAGGTTTTAGAGCAGAGCCAAGAGTTAAGGAAAGAAAGCCTCTTAGAGAAGGAAAGAGCACACCTGTGTCTGGTTTCAACAGTCGAAGTCTAGAAACACAGATGTTGGCAGTCTGATGATTTCATAATTGGGAATTTCCACAAAAAACAAGATTAGTAGTAAAGAGCTTATCATCTGGACTACTGATTTTTAAGCTTACCCTCCAGAATTTATTTAATTTTCTTCTTTCTTTAAAACTTAAATTCAGTTAGCCAACATATAGCACATCATTACTTTTAGATGTAGAGTTCAGTAATTCATCAGTTGCATGTAACACCCAGTGCTTATCACACCACATGCCTTCCTGCTGCCCATCACGGAGTTACCCCATCCCCCCACTTACCTCCCTACCCTCCAGAATTTAAAAGCAGTGAAGTCTCCTGGTGAGTGACACTGGCTCTGGAATCAGTTGAGCTGGATTTTATTTCTTTATCCTTCTCTTTCTAACATGACTTTGAACATGTTCCTTGGGAACAGAATACCTTCCTGAGTTACAGGGTACTTATCTGATATCCAGCAATCTCATATTTAATGAAAGACTAGAACCTAGGCAGACTCAGAGAGATGTTTAATATGCTCCAAGATGCACAGCTTGTCTGCAGTGATTAAGGGTTCCCTAGCTCTGGCTGTTCTGTTTGGCAGCTCTTCCTGTCCCTATTAGCTATCAAGCTGGGGGGTGGAAACACAAAGATGATTGAATCAGACACAGTTCTTGCCTACAAGAGTCTCTCATGTCATGGGTAAGGAGAACAAAAGGAGGGGTATTTTGTGTCAAAGTGTAGGGAAAGCATCAGGGAAGAAGATACACAAGAGACAGGCACATGAAAATGCACATGAGGGAGGGTGGAGGGTTCTGTGTCAAACAACATGCCTGCGAAACTGTACAGCTTTTAGCCGAATGAGCCACAAGGAGCAGTGGGGAAGGAGGCTGCAGAGAGAGGCCACAGTTTCTGGGTAAGGGGCACAGTGAGTGCTAGCCCACGGTTGGAGGTGGCCTGTAGGACATGGGGAATCTTTGAAAGGTGTCCATCAGGAGAACGGGATGCTCAAATGTGCTTTTAGTCTGTCCTAATGACAGTGTGGTGGATGGAGAACAAAGAAATGGAGATGAGGAGAGCAGCTCTCAAGTTATTACCAGTGAGAGAGGATGAGGTCGGAGCCAGGCTGTGGTAATTAGGATGCAAAGGAGAGCAGAGAAAAAAAAAATTATGCCCATAAAAATCAATAGTCTCATTACTGTTTCTGCAAAAAGACAACATGACTAGTGATGACAGAGTTGTAGAGTAGAACTGGCCCAAAATGATCCCACCTGGCATCTTTTCTACAGTACCATGGGAAGTAGTCATCCAGTCCCTGCTTGAATGCTTACAGTGATGGGGAGATCACCACCTCATGACTGATAAGTTTTGTTACTATAAGGAGGAACTTCCTTTTAGGGAATTAAACACTGCTATGTGGAACTCAATATCAGCTCTAGACGAGGACAAGAAATACTGCTCTGATTTACGGATGCTTTGAATTCCAAGGTAGATGAATCCCCCATCTGTGCCAAGCTTTTCCTAAGAAACTGTGGTAATAAGAATGTGAGGGGGGTGCCTGGGTGGTTCAGTCATTAAGCTTCTGCCTTCAGCATGGGTCATGACCCCAGGGTCCTGGGGTTGAGCTCCGCATGGCGGGAAGCCTGCTTTCCTTCTCCCATTCCCCCTGCCTGTGTTCCTGCTTGTGTTCCTGCTCTTGCTGTCTCTCTGTGTCAAATAAATAAATAAAATCTAAAAAAAAAAGAAAAGAAAAGAAAAAAAAGAATGTGAGTGGGAGGTAGGCTAGCCTGCAGATCCACAATATAAAGATAGGGGGCGCTCTCCCAAGTTTTTTTTGTTTTTGTTTTGTTTTGTTTTTTTGTTTTTTTTTTGGGGGGGGAAGACGGAGTCCTTTCTCTGTCGCTGTATCACAGGATCATGCCTATTAGGCACTACCAAAATCACTTCTATGAATACTTTCACTAATAAAAGTGGTCAGCCATGGTGAAAGGATGTGGGAGGACAGGGGACAGGGATGGGGACATAACATCTCACCAGCACTGAAAAGACATACTTTTATATTTTAAAACATGTTTATGTATTATTTAAAAATTAGATAATATAGGGGTGCCTGGGTGGCTTAGGTTAAGTGTCCAACTCTTGGTTTCAGCTCAGGTCATAATCTCACTGTCCTAAGACTGAGCCCTGAGGTGGTCTCCACGCTCAGCAGGGAGTCTTCTTGAAGATTCTCTCTCTCTCTCTGCCCCTCCCCCATTCAGGTACACAAACTCTCTCAAATACATAAATAGATCTTTAAAAAAATTAACTGAATATAAAAATAGTTACCAGATTGTTCTACAGTCACTCAAAATGACTTCTAAAAGGAAGGCTTTTCTGATATGACTCTTGATACTCACTATGCCTGGAACAGCTCCTACTGAGAAAGGCCCTGAGTGGCTGTTCTGAGATGTCCTGTGGAATTGAAGTTTGGAAACTGTAAATTAGTTATCAGTAAAAGCTGCCTTAATTGATGGTCCCGGATGGTGGCTACAGGGTTCCACTAGGAGAGGGCAAACCTCACTTTTGCTTGCTTGTTGGCTTCCTTGAATTTTGTAGAAGCAGTTGCTCCTGATGGAAAGTGGGGGGAGATCCCTGGGGGAAAGGAGACATTGGTTTCAGAGGAGCATTATCTCTTAGGCCACAAAAAAGCGTTTGCGAGATCAAGGAGCAGGCGAGGCCAGGCACTGGTTCGGAACTCTGTTTTGCAGTAAAAGCCAGTGTAATTTGAAGGCACATTCTGTAGCTTCTTTGATTACAGTCATAAATCAGCATGGTTTGCTATTGACTGAAGACAGGTATAGTCCATCGTTAGGAGATTTTGTTTCCTCTTAAAAGTACCGTATTATCTCATCAATCTCCTCTTGGGGGGAAAAAATCACTGAATGTGTTCATGGCATCCATTTTGGTGAACTAGCCCGTAATTACCATGTATATATACACATATATCTAATATGAAGAGTTTTTATCACCAGCACTTTATGCCCCATTGTAAGTCAAGTACTCTGCTGCTCCTCTGTTTATTACAGCTGTGGAAGAAAACATTAGTTTTAACAAAATGATCAAATGTGCATTGCAGGACATTTATCTCCATAATCCAAACATAAAGTGGAATGACATTATTGGACTCGATGCAGCCAAGCAGTTAGTCAAGGAGGCTGTTGTGTACCCTATCAGGGTAAGGATGGGAAGCCTCATGGGGGTGGTTTCTGTTCATTGTCCACCGGACAAACTGTATGTCACGCACCCATCAGGAAGAGGACAGGATGTTCTTCTGTCATCGCCTTAACTTTTGGGCTGTGTCACAGTATTTGGTTAAACACTGAAGTACCAAGGCCCAGTCCACTGCAGGCAGTTTGAAATCGTGTTACATATTGGGTCAAGGCGGGGTCTGTTCAAGTGATCATTTTAGATCTAAGACTTGTCAGTTCCTACAGATTGGTTCAAATTAGCCTGCCTCCCTAAAACTATACTTACTATCGTAGAAATGCCTCCTGTAGGAGAGGGCCTCTCACTGTGTTTCTATAGATCCCCCTCCCCCTTGACCCCCTTCATCTAGGGTTCTGTTTCTGACTTTTTGTAAACACCAGGCAGCCCCTTCCAGGGCACTGGCCAGGAACGCCATTGTATCATGCTCACTGCTCTTTCCTGACAAGTCTTTGTGCGGAATAGTTCATGAAACAGGAAGGAAAACAGAAAAACAAGACATTCCATGTTGGGTTTGCAGGTGTGGTGATGAGAAGGTCTGTGTACCCCATAGCTGTGGCTGTATAACAGACCACCCCAAAACGTGCATTTGGTAGACAGTCTGGGCCGGAGCCTGGGAAAGCTGGCATAGACAGGATGACTGAGACTTGTCCATGTGCCTCTCCTCCCCCAGCAGGCAGGCCCAGTCTTGTTCCACGGTGGCACAGACTTCCCAGACAGAAGCGAGAAAGGGCAGGTACCAATCCAGCAGCATTTTTCACATCTCTTCTTATAGTTCCTATATTTTCAAGTTTCTTCTTATATTTGCTGATGTTTCATTGGCCAAGGTCACAGGGCCAAGTCCAGATTCTAGTGTCGGAGAAATATACTCTCTTAGTGGAAGGAGCTGCAGCTAATTTGTGGCCATTTTCTGTGATCTCCCGCAGTCAAGATAACACATTTGTTGTATTGAATAATCTATTGATTCTTATCACTGAGATAAGAATGCAGACCCTAAATTTTGGCTGCTTCTAGTCTAATGAGACAAAAATCAGTAAATCTGGATGGTCTCCCCACCTTTTCTTCCTGTATTCAGACATGGGAGGTAAGAAATACACTGGCATTCAGATTTAGTAGAAATTTATTCACTCTTTCCTCTGAGTGGCTCTACAGTACAAGTCTTTGGGAAAGGATGGAACATCTCATTGGAGCTCTGGATATGTCATCTCCATGGTGTTATAAGCTTTGTGTGTGATGGCATGGAGAGTTTGGCAACAGCATCAGCAAGAAAACAAGAGCTACCTACAATTTTACTATCGTTTTTCCTTCTCCCTTGTTCTCTATCAGCTCTACCTACTGCCCTCGACTGTCTGGATTTGAACTAATGGGAGAGAATCATGGAAGTTTGTGGAATATGGAAGTCCACGCATGTCCCATTTGGAGTTAGTGTCTCACAAGGCATTCAGCACCAAATGTTCCCAACTTCTAAATCAGGCTTTGCCATAGCTTTGTGCTTTATTTGCATACACCGTTGTTGGTTGGTTTTAGTGTTTACCTTAAAGGGCATTCCTGGTTCACAACATTCCAAAGATTGCCAAATAACCCTGTACACAGAACTCCAGGAGAAATGATGTTATGTATGTAGGAAATAACTATTGTAACAGAGAAGGAAAGTACCCACATATGCCTTTCTTTTCCTTAAAAAAAAAAAAAATACTGCTCTTTTAAAAGCCACAAAAATTAAGCCGGGCATTGCTATAAGTGTGAAAGTAAAACGGGGAGAAATAAGATGTAAACAGGAGCAGTGAGCCTCAACAAAAGGAAGACCCGACTCGTTGTGCTGTGTTTCTCCCCAGCTTCCTTCATTTGTCTGTGCTGAGGGTGTGCCGGCTGACATACTGATTCCAAACCTCATCTTTGTTCCTTGTTTCCATAGTATCCGCAGCTGTTTACGGGAATCCTTTCCCCCTGGAAAGGTCTACTGCTGTATGGTCCTCCAGGTAAAGGAATCTTTCTGATTTGGTCTTGATATGAAGTGTGGATGCCGAGGGTGAGCTGGCCTGTCTGTCCTCATTCAGGCGGGGGGGCTAAGGACCACTGGGTAGCCACCTCCTTTTCCACTTGGGAGACTGACTTCTATCTGTGAGCAGAGGAATGGAGTGCAGGGGGTCACTCGCATTTTATCCTCATGTGTCTCTAGGCACAGGCAAGACCTTACTGGCTAAAGCTGTGGCCACGGAGTGTAAAACCACCTTCTTTAACATTTCTGCATCTACCATTGTCAGCAAATGGAGAGGGGATTCAGAAAAACTTGTTCGGGTAGGAATTCTTGATTTTATATTTTTTTACAATAAGTTCCAACAGAATACAGTGGTTCAACATGATGTTAGAGCTTATTTGTTTTTAAGTGATTTGTATGCTAGAATTTACCCTGGATTTTGATTACCAAAAGCCCAGGAGATAGATTGACTATTATATGTGGATATTAATCCTGTTCCCATCAGCAAAATATGATCTCCTTTCCTTTGGGGATGTGACCAACAGTGCTTTTTTGATTCCTGTAGCTTAGGAATGGAAGCCGGGACAAAGGTTGTTTAAGAAGTGGAATATTTTTTTTCTTCCTCCAAGAAACATTTATTTTTAAGCATGTGCAGTATATTCAGCTAACATTTATTGAGAAGCGACTAGCATATGCTAGTACCTGCACTAGATACCCTCAGAAAGAATCAAGAAATTAAAAACAATTATATTTTTTCAGATGCTCTCAGCAACTTTCCTCCACAGTGCCCCATAGCCTTACAGTTTTTTCCTCTCCTTAGGAGAGAAATAGAAAATACATTTTATATAAAATATAATATAAAATTTTATACTATAAAATTTTACTATACTTTCTGGCACCTTAAGAGAATACCTGTTTATGATTTAACACCTCAATGTAAGGTGGGTCCTTCTCAGAAATCCTGTTAAACTGTTGAATTCTGTAGAATGCCTGGAAAGTAATCAATACCAAGTCAATGTAAATACTATATATTTTCTGAAAAGAAATTACTCTAAAATATTATGCTTAAGTTACATTCCCTTGGATGATTCATTTTCAAAATATTATGGCTTCCTTGGAAGTCATAATGGAATATTTTTATAGGATTGATTTACCTAAAATGGCCTATCATTTATTACTTTAATTCTTTTCTCAAGTTACTTCAAATGTGTAAGTTTTTACAGTTCTTATCACCGCTTCACGATTGTAATTTGTGGAAATCCACATTGACATCTGTTTCTTTGTTCTTTGAGTCTCCCTTAGTGCCCGTCTAAAGGTGGGGTTGGAACTCATCTGTTCCTTAATTTGTGGGTTCTATGTGATTCTAGTTAGTTTGATGTCAATTAGTTAAAATCCAACTAACTATAAAATATTCATCAGCGTGAAGACTTTTTCTTTTTTTAACGTTCCATTTCTATGGGCTGAAGAACAATAAAACTTTTACAAGATGCCCCCAGAATCAGTTTAGATTTCTCTCCTGTCATGAAAAGTGGTGTTTACAACTGTGAGCACAAAACACTGCAAGAAGCTCAAAGAAAGATTACATTATATTCCCTGGACAGGAGTCCCCTAAACAGAAGAATAAATTCAAATATATTATGACTATTCTTTTTTCTTAAAGATTCTATTCATTTATTTCAGAGACAGAGAGTGAGAGAGAGGGCAAGCATGAGCAGTGGGAGAGGCAGAGAAGCAGATTCCTCGCCGAGCAGGGAGCCTGATGTGGGACTTGATCCCAGGACCCTGGGATCTAGACCTCAGCAGAAGGCAGTCACTTAACTGACTGAGACACTCAGTTGCCCCTCTTATGAATATTCTTTTTTTTTTTTTAAGATTTTATTTATTTATTTGATGGACAGAGATCACAAGTAGGCAGAGAGGCAGGCAGAGGGAGAGGAGGAAGAGCAGAGCAGAGAGCCTGATGTGGGGCTTGATCCCAGGACCCTGGGATCATGACTTGAGCTGAAGGCAGAGGTTTTAACCCATGGAGCCACCCAAGTACCCTCTTATGAATATTCTTAACGAAGACTGAAACTACTAAAAGAATTATCTTGTTTAATGTTGGATAACCAGAAAAGTCACTTAACAGGGTTTCTCCATTCTGTGAACATTTTATTTAACTAAAGTTATCCTTTGCTTCAGTATTATTTTGTTAGGACTCTAAGGGTGAGGAAATGAGTCCTTCCCCAAGTTCTCCCCTTCCTTTACCATATATTTGAAAAAAAAAAATAATAAAAACTAGTGTTGGGGCGCCTGGGTGGCTCAGTCAGTTAAGCGGCTGACTCTTAATTTCAGCTCAGGTCATGATCTCAGGGTCCTTGGAATCGAGCCCCACATCAGGATCCACAATCAGCAGGGAGTCTTCTGAAGGATTCTCTCTCTCCCTTTCCCCCGACTCATGCTCCCTCTCTTTCTCTAAAATAAATAAATAAATATTAAAAAAAATAACTAGTATTTTTAGGAAGAAAAAAGGGTACAAAAGGGAATATAGACCCTTGAGTCCTCTCCCTAGAGGCAACTACTACAGTCTGCTAGTGCAGCCTTTTAGAACATTTATCTGTATCTATATTAAGACCAACAACTTCATCCATATCTCCTTCCTTATTAAATACAAGTAGGAACATACTACACAATACCCTTCTTTTACTGAGTTTTTTGTTTGTTTTGTTTTTTTGTATAATTTTTTATTTTTTTAATTTCTTTTCAGTGTACCAGAATTCGTTGTTATGCACTACACCCAGTGCTCCATGCAATACGTGCCCTCCATAATACCCACCACCAGGCTCACCCAACCTCCCACCCCCACCCTGTCCCTTCAAAACCCTCAGATTGTTTTTCAGAGTCCATAGTCTCTTATGGTTCATCTCCCACGCCCAAATCCCTTCTCCTCTCCATCTCCCCATGTCCTCATGTTATTTCTTATGCTCCACAAATAAGTGAAACCATATGATAATTGACTCTCTCTGCTTGACTTATTTCACTTGGCATTAATCTCTTCCAGTCCCGTCCATGTTGATACAAAAGTTGGGTATTCATCCTTTCTGATGGAGGCATAATACTCCATTGTATATATGGACCATATCTTCCTTATCCATTTGTCCATTGAAGGGCATCTTGGTTCTTTCCACAGTTGGGCAACCGTGGCCATTGTTGCTATGAACATTAGGGTATGGATGGTCCTTCTCTTTCCTACATCTGTATCTTTGGGGTAAATACCCAGTAGTGCAATTGCAGGGTCATAGGGGAGCTCTATTTTTAATTTCTTAAGGAATCTCCACACTGTTTTCCAAAGTGGCTGCACCAACTTGCCTTCCCATCAACAGTGTAAGAGGGTTCCCCTTTCTCCACATCCTCTCCAACACACATTGTTTACTGTCTTATTAATTTTGGCCATTCTAATGGTGTAAGGTGGTATCTCAATGTGGTTTTGATTTGAATCTCCCTGATGGCTAGTGATGATGAACATTTTTTCATGAGTCTGATAGCCATTTGTATGTCTTCTTTGGAGAAGTGTCTGTTCATGTCTTCTGCCCATTTTTTGATGTGATTATCTGTTTCATGTGTGTTGAGTTTGAGGAGTTCTTTACAGATCCTGGATATCAGCCCTTTGTCTGTAGTGTCATTTGCAAATATCTTCTCCCATTCCGTGGGTTGCCTCTTTGTTTTGTTGACTGTTTCCTTTGCTGTGCAGAAGCTTTTGATCTTGATGAAGTCCCAAAAAAATCATTTTCGCTTTTGTTTCCTTTGCCTTTGGAGATATATCTTGAAAGAAGTTGCTGTGGCTGATATTGAAGAGGTTACTGCCTATGTTCTAATCACCAAGACAGCACGGTACTGGCATAAAAACAGACACATAGACCAGTGGAACAGAGTAGAGAGCCCAGATATGGACCCTCAACTCTATGGTCAAATAATCTTTGACAAAGCAGGAAAAAATATATAGTGGATAAAAAGACAGTCTCTTCAATAAATGGTGCTGGGAAAATTGGACAGCTATATGTAGAAGAATGAAACGCGACCATTCTCTTACACTATACACAAAGATAAACTTGAAATGGATAAAAGACCTCAACATGACACAGGAATCCATCAGAATCATAGAGGAGAACACAATACCCTTCTATACCTTTTGGTTTTTTCCCACACTCAACAGTATAACTTGTTTATTGTTCCAAACTATTATAGACAGAACAGTTCTTTTATAAGTCCGCATGGCATTTCCTTGTCTGAGTATACCAAAACATATTTAACCAGACTTTTCTTAATGGACATTTAGGTTGTTTCTAGTCTCTTGCTATCATGAACAAAGCTACAGTAAACAATCTCACTATATACATGTCCTTGCATGCGTAGTAATGTAGGACCATTTCTTTGAAGTTAAGTTGCTAGGTCAGAGAGAATGAAAAATCACCAATTGCCAAATTGCCTGACAGCAGCATCACACCAGCTTGCACACCCATCAGTGATGTGCATGTTTGCTTCTCCCACCCTGGTCAACACTGTGTAGAACCCAAATTTAAAAATCTTTGTCAATCTGATAATGAAACTAATATTTCAGTGCTCAAATATGCATTTATTTAATTCTGAATGAACTTGAGCATTTTCTTATACGTTTAGAAGATATTTATATTTTCTTATTTTCTGTGAAATGCATTTTTGGTTTTGGATATTTAAAAAAATGATTCAGGAGGAAAACAGATAACCTCTGCTAACCTTGAAGGATCTCATCTTCTGTCCTTTCAGAAGTTATTTTCTGAGCTCTTGGAAAGATCCTTATCTGGAAAATCTTGGTCATGCTGTCAAGATCTTTACTATGAAGCTTTTAGATAAAGAGAGCCCTTCAGAATTTTCCTCTAAATCAGAGACACATTCCTACCATTTGTTTCTCTTTCTAGTCCAATTAAAGAGTTATTTATAGGGAACTCTTGGGTTATGTTCCTCCCTCCCCTCCTAATGTTCTTGCCTCTTAGGAATTGATGCTCTTGAATAGTTGAGTGGTCTCTTCAGCAAATGCACACACCTGTTGGTGCTTACATCTTTAAACACTCTCCCCAGCCCCCCAATCATATGATTTAACTTCCTCCAAATACTTTAGAAAATTTTAGACTAATGCTTCCAGAGCACTTACCCGGAATTCTATATATTCTCTGGCACTGGAAAGAGCAATGGTGTGGTCAATATGGAGACATGGGCTCCAGATGTGGTTCTCCTTCCAACTCGTTGTTTGTTTTTTTCGAGCCTCTCAGTCCCTCTGCCCTTTAGGGAGCACCTTAAAAACATGTGTGGTTCTATTAAAGAGTTCTGATATTCCACTTTTCATTGGGTAGATTGCTGCTTTTGCGACATCCTTAATATCAGTTATATTGGGGCTTTTTTTTTTTTTTTTTTTTTTTGGTGATAAGTGAAATAAGTTGCTGGCTTCTAATGAGAGGGTCTCTATAGTGTCTAAGAGGCATTTGTGATGTGTGTCCCAGCATTGACACTGTTCCCTCAGTTCATTAGGCTGAGCCAACTGTCTTGGCCAAATGAAGTAGGATTCTGTGAAAGGAAAACACTTGAGGATGAGCATGGTTGTATCACACGTGCACGCAGTGGTGAAGGTGAGGGATTTCCGGCTCAGTGACAGGGAGACCTGTAAGGGATAACCTGCCACTACTCACGAAAGCCACAATCTGGCCTTCTCTGGGCTCTTCTCCTCTTATTTGATCTGTGCTGCTTTGCTAGTGCTAAGTGACATGGAGAATAAATCCCCTATGCCTATTAAAGAACCTCTATTCTTTTCTAAATCTCTACTGCTTTCTCCGATCAACCAGTGAAGAATTGTATATGGTGCTCAAGAGATCAGTTTCAAGGTTAAAAAAAAAAAAGGTTTAGTTTTTTTATACTTTTTTCATCACCACCACATCTCCCTTTAGAGCTTTTTATTTTGTTTTTATATGTCTGTTCTTTTGCTGGCTGCTTTGCTGTTCTTGTTCAGTCTATAATATTTTATTTTGGAATGGAACATTTTTTTCAATTGGGAATTGCCTTCAAGCACCTGAGCCTACCAAACAGAAGTGTTTGGAGTGGTATGGGGACCCCATAGAGTAATCTGGGGAGCAGAAAGGGGCAAAATTCTTCAGCCTTGTTACCCAACACGGGAACTGTATCCACTCCCTACGGTTCTTCCTTCTGAGAACAACCTTCATTGTCCCTAAAGGTTAAGGGAAAATCATCAAATGACTTTCCACATTCCAAGGCTTTTGTGTCCTTACGGAACATGTGATTGGCAGGGAGTCTCAGGGGCTAACTAACTGACTAGAAGCTCAGGCACTGAGTTTTATCTTAAGCTCTCCTATTTATGGTTAGTAACCTTGAGCTTACCATTAACTCTCTCTGGCTCTAATCTTATCAAGTGATAAGTAGAAATAATTGGACCATCCATGGGGTTTTGCTAAGGAGAAATAATTGTGATGATTATAAAATTATTGTGGAAGAACAGAGTGCAGCATAAATGCTTAATAGTACAGCCAGCCTAAGCTTTTAATCTCTGGGAGCATCAGTGAACTTGAAGTTAAGTGTATGAATTTGAACATGTGGTTGCTTTTCTCCTTCCCAGGTGTTATTTGAACTTGCCCGCTATCACGCCCCTTCCACCATCTTCCTGGACGAGCTGGAGTCAGTGATGAGTCAGAGAGGCACTGCTCCTGGGTAACAGACAGGGGGTTTTTTTTGGTCATCACTTCTCCCCTCTTGTAAGTGTGTTTGATGGTCGGAAGCCCATCGACATTTACCAGCAGAATGAGCCTATTAATAAGCCCACAAATTTTCTGCAGACACATGGAAAGGTCTTTAAATTAGATCCTGTTAACTGAATAGCTGATTTAAGTAGTTTTTATAACCGGAGGAAATGTCATCCTCCCTTCCCCCTTTCCCCACAGAGTGGTTTTCAGGACTGAAGATCACCCAGCCCCATGATCCCAGGCTGCCATCACGGTCTCACTGGCCCAGAATAGCTGCCTGTGACCACTGCCTCTGGAGCCAGAGGGGCTGCCTGTGGGGAATGGGGCTGCAAAGGCCAAGGCCCAAGGGGCAGCCCTTGACAAGGTGTGTGAGGCCGGGGAAGCCACCACTTCTCTGTGACATCAGGTTGTGGCTTAGCCTGATTTTAAATATATCACATATGTTATCTCTAAAGATGAAGTGTCCACTAAAGTCCCCAGCAGGAAAGCACACATCTCAGACTGCAGTGAGCCTCCTGTGTGTGTGTGTGTTTTAAGAAAGTCTTTCTGGGGGCGCCTGGGTGGCTCAGTGGGTTAAGCCGCTGCCTTCGGCTCAGGTCATGATCTCAGAGTCCTGGGATCGAGCCCCGCATCAGGCTCTCTGCTTGGCGGGAAGCCTGCTTCCTCCTCTCTCTCTGCCTGCCTCTCTGCCTACTTGTGATCTCTCTGTCAAATAAATAAATAAAAATCTTAAAAAAAAAAAAAAAAGAAAGTCTTTCTGTCTTCGTCAGAAGTATTCTTCTTTGAAACTTTTTACTAAACCTGGCTTGGAAAAACACATCTCTGGCAAATCTCAACACAGCTACATTTATTAATGGCCTCTAATGGTCCATTATCAAGGCCGAACTAATAGTAATAAAAGGCAAATATTTAGCTTCTTGGATGTATAACTACAATATAATTTATGAAATTTTATTTATTGAAAATCATTTTCCTAATGGCAAAGCAACCATTAAGATGCACCCAAGAGGCATGGCATTGATGGCACTGATTGAAATGGGACAGTTGCCATGGCTTAATGGGTGCTAGTGAGCCCCAGGCTGGGACACCCTGTCCCTCTCTTCAGGACCTGATGGGAGGAGACCAGTGCAGAGGCACCCAGCTGGGCACCAACCAGACAGATCAACCACCCTACTGGTCATTCCCTCTGCAAAGACCCGGCCCGCCTGGCCTGCCTCACCAGAGTGACCTGTGTGCTTGTTCTTCGTTCACTTGGTCCTTCTCCGCTCCCAGGGTTCCCCACAGCTTTGAACAGGCTGATTTGGGAACTTCATCAACTATCCTAGGGTGTACTCCAGGGTTTGTGTGGAACGTCAGCTTCCTTGTCTGGAACTTGGACCCTAAAACTAGAGTCTTCAAAGGGCCAAGGAATAAGGGCAGGTGCTCTGAAGACTTCATGGGTCATATGATGTTAAAAGATTAATTATGAGTCATTGATAAATATATAATTATGCTGTGAGACTGTCCTTTCTCTTAGGACAAGGCAGTTTGATGGTGAGTGGCACAGTTCTTAAAAAAAAACACACCACATACCTAATCTATGCTGCCACCGTGCACATGCAGAGATGAGAGGCTGGCTGTCGTGTGGTCCAAGAAACGGATTTTTTTGTCCTTTTACTTCAATCTCTACAAGAAAAGAGGAAGGAGAGCCTGCTGAATGTAGTCAGTACTTAGAGCCAGTCTACATTGTTAGGTCCTGTACTGAGGTCCTTCTTGCTGGAGGGGTCTTGGCCGTGATGGAGGAGGGGCTCAGAGGGTGAATTTCCATCTGCTGTGTGGGGCAAGCATACTTTCCGTGTCATTGTCTTGTCTCTTATTAGAAGAGAATGAAACAGATTCATCATGGTAGCTCATTTCTCCTCTTCAATAGATTATATTCACAAATTATACTAAAGGAAATACTGTGTATAAACGTACTTTCATGCCTGCTACCAAAATGGAAGGATTCTTCTCAATTACACTGTGTTTACCAAGGGCAGATAGCGCTGTAGGGGAACATGGTTGCTTTGAGTCCATTGGGGCTACTGTCTACTTTTCAGCTCTTTTCTAGTTCACTGCCAGCCTTTGGTTTTCTTTTCAATATCGTCACTATATTCATTTACTTCCTTTCTATCACCCTCTATGTGAAAATAGTACCATATTGTTTGTTTCCTCTAACCCTAGTACGAGTGGCTCCTTAGAATGAGACAGGGAACCTGTTTTACAGGGAGAGTCATTGATGTGAGTGCCAGTCTTGTCCTAGAAGCAAAGGCTCCACATCTTGCAATAATCTCCCCTCTGGTCCCTTTGTAGCGGAGAACATGAAGGAAGCCTTCGGATGAAGACAGAGTTACTGGTGCAAATGGATGGCCTGGCTCGCTCAGAAGATCTCGTGTTTGTCTTAGCAGCCTCTAACCTGCCATGGTAAGAGATCTTAGTACATTTTGAATACATTTTTAAAAAAGATTTATCAATTTGAGAGAGAGTGTGTGCAGGCACGCAGGAGGGAGAGGCAGAGAGAGATGGAAAGGGAATCTTAAGCAGACTCCCCGCTGAGTGCAGAGCCCTATGTGGGGCTCAATCCCACCACCTGGGATCATGACCTGAGCCAAGACAGTCTAATGCTTAACTGATTGAGCTACCCAGGTGCCCCCTGATACATTTTCATGAGCCAGTGAGTACGGATGAAGACACTGTGTTGACCATTTTGGGCAAAGTCTCATGGTTTGGTTCCTGCCCTGGAAGATTAATCAGAAGTCTTTCCTGGTCAAGTCCTCAGTCCTTACTATCTGTACCAGGAAAGAATCTGCCTTAATAGAAGGAACATAGGCCAGGACTACCACTATCAATATTTAAAATGGACATTCTGGGGTGCCTGGGTGGCTCAGTTGGTTATGTGTCTGACTTCAACTCAGGTCATAATCTCAGGGTCCTGGGATCGAGGTCCCATATTGAGCCCCACGTAGGGTCCATGCTCAGAGGGGAGTCTATTTCTCCCCCTCCCTCTGCCTCTCCCCCTGCTTGTGATCTCTCTCTCAAATAAGTAAATAAATAAAATCTTTAAAAAAATAAAATGGACATATATTTTGAGTTTCAAGTCAAATTATTTACTCTATTTAAGTAGGGCTTTGGCAGAGAACTATAAAATGCTAAAATCTTCAGGCAGGATTCAAGGAATATTCCAGAAATAATATGCTTATACTTTAACAGTATTAAAATCAAACTCTTTTTTAAATTAGGAAAATCTTTAATGTTGCATAGTAAATAGAAAGCTAAATAATCTCTAATTGAAAATATAATCTACTCACAGAGTCTTTTATTCAAATTGTATCCCAGAGTGGTTTAAGAACAGTTCTAGAAGTGGAATTGGGAAATAAGAGAGGTTGACTAGGGAAAAACAGTATCTACTTGGAGAGTATATTTAAAAAAATGATAATCCCTTTATAGTTCCAATACTATTTTCACATACATTATTTCTTTTGAGCTGCAGGTAAGACAGGACACAGATAAGGAAGTGCTATTTTTCCCATTCAAAGACAGGGACCAAAGTCAAGGAAGGTCAATCCACCCAAAGTCAAAAGCAAATCTGCAACAGAGTTGGGACTTGTAACTTGTATCCCCCCACACTCACCCCTACCCCATCCATTTCTGTTTCCACATTCAAAGATGAAAGAGAAACTCTTCTGCTGTTTCTCTTGCTGGTCATCTAAGCTCCCAAAGAAGTCACTAAAAAGATGTTCACATGTAATCTGTTATTTTAAATATATTCTTAATTTCAACCTGGCTCCAACTCCTCTCAAATTTATAAGACTTCACTAATGTGTAAGGTGATCAGCACTTTATGTGTTCATGATAGAGGTATTTACATACAATATTAAAGTGAAATCCAAGCAGAGAACTGTCATTTAAATGTGATTGTGAAATCCCTCAGAGAAAGAATCTCCATTGCTTCATCCATTTGAAATAGGGTTGATCATAAGCACTTTACTCCTATCCCAGGTGATGTGGGAGTCAGCTGGAGAGGGTCTGTGTATGGCTCCAGGAACATCTGTGTCCCCTGGGGAGACCTACACATTTTCTACAGGAAAAGAGAAACTTCTACTCCCAGGGAATATGTAGGACTTTGTTGAAGAAGTTACTGTGCTGCCACAGTTTCCCCAAGATCATCAATTTTTGGTAAACACCAACTAAAATGATCAGAGAAGAAAAAAAAGGCTAACAATCAAATATTAAGGAAGTCTTTGAAGGCTTTTCCAGAAGAATTGCCCCTCATCTTGGCAAATGGCAAATACATGGCTTTGCCTACATCATGACAATGTACCGTGGAACCAATATGTTCTTTCTGACCCATCCTTTAGCAATGCTGGGCTCTAAAAAAAGCTTACTACGAAAAATTCCAGACACTAAAGAAGAGGAGAAAGCACCCATCATTTCCCAGTTTCAGTAACTAACATTTGCCTGATTGATTGATTTTTAAAGATTTTATTAATTTGAGAGAGAGAGAGCACGCACAGAAGGAGAGGGAGAAGCAGGCTTCCCACTGAGCAAGAAGCCCAGCACGGAGTTTGATCCCAGGATCCAGAAATTATGACCTGAGCTGAAGGCAGATGCTTAGCTGACTGAGCCACCCAGGCGCCCCTTGTCCACTGATTTAATCTATTCCTGCCCCCTCCCTCGTTTTGCTACAGTACCTTAAAATATATCCCAGATTGTTGGGTCCCTATCGTCATGTCACTTCTCACAAATATACTTCAGTAGACATTTTTCTAAAAAAGAACATTTTCTTCCATTACTGTACAATGCTGTTACTACCCCCAACAAAATCAACACCAATTCCTCCATATCATCTACTACCCAGTGTTTTTTCAGATTTCCCAGATTGTTCCAAGATGTCTTTTTACAATTAATTTACTGAATTGATATCCAAACAAGGTTTGCATTTTGTAATTTCCCTTAAGCATCCTTTGATCTATAACAGACTTCCTCCCCTTTTTTTCCCACTTGCCATTGACTTGATCGTCAGGGAAACTGTCCTGTAATACATCTGAAGAGTCTGGATCGTACTCACTGTATCCTTTGATGGGAAAAATAATACTTAGGGATAGCAATCTCATGATTACAGGCGCTCCTTGCTGACTGGATTATCATTCTTTCTTGGCCTTTTGATCAGGCAGAACTAGGGAAATACATAGTTTTAAAAAGAAGCCAATAATGACTTCATACTAGTATTTCCCATTCAAATTTTAGATTACCAGAGCTTTAGTTAAATTATTTGATTTTATATTTGTACCTTTTCTCTAATTGTGAAAATCTTATTTCTTAACATTAATATAATATTCACTCAATCCTAGGATGTAGATATATTTTGTATTTGTATGTGGAACAGAGTTTCTCAGTAATGAGACCAATACTCTCGTGACAGCGACATTTTGATGAGCAGGACGGTACACGCCTGGCCTGAAACAGAAGTGCCGAATCCAGAGTTCTTCACCCCAGCACTACTGACATTTTGGGCCAGATAACGCTTTGTGGGGGCCTGTCCTATGCATCGTATGATGCTAGGCAGCATCTCTGGCCTTGCCTCACTAGATACCAGTAGCACTGCTCCCTATTACAACAAAAATTATTTGTTTTCAGACATTGCGAAATGTTCCCTGGGTAGTAAAATCCTCCCCAGTTGAGACTCACTGAACAGAAGTAAGTGACAGACATTAAATAGAGACAAACTGTCACATGCTCCACAGATGAACTCTCAAGGTTTCTTTTAACTCCAAAAAATAATTGAATTTGGTTACACCAAAGGTGGCATGTGATAGAAATTGTTCTGTATCTTGATCTTTTTCTGAACAAAACATTCTGAGCAGAAAGTTCATTCTTACTCCCTTGATAGCTGCGTATGTTCCATTTTGTGCATATGCTAATCTGTCCCTGTCACCCGGTGATGGGTATTTGGGTTATCCCTACTCTTGCTATTATGAATAACGTTGCAGTGAATAATGGTACACATACATCACTTTGTGTATTTGCCAGTGTATCTCTGGGATAGGTTCCTGGAAATAGAATTGCTAGGTCAAAGGGTTAATGTACATGAAATTATAGTAGAGATTGCCAAGTTTCCCTCCATAGAGGTTGTACATTTTGTATTCCCACTAGTGTCCTGCTTTCATTACTTAACATTATAGTGAGAACATTTCCAAAGTCATTAAATAATCCTTGAAAATTGGATTTTGTAATGGCTGTCCAAAATTCCCACATGTGAATATACCACAATTTAATCATTCCTTGCCTGTTGAACATATATGATGCTCCCAACTTTTCTCTATTATAAATAACACTGAAATGAACTTCCTTGAATAAAAATCTTTGACCAAAATTTGTTTTTTTTTTCTTTAGGACAGATTTCTGGAAGTAGGATTACCGTATAAAAGAACATGGATGGTTTTTAAGCTCCTTGCTACATACTGTCCAAGTCCATCTGTGAGGAGATACTACATTCTTATTAAGGCTATTGGAACAGACCTTTATCTTGGCTTCAGGGTCTTATATGAGGGAACAAAATTATCTGATTAAAGCAGAATGTCCTTCTGGGGGAAATAACTAAATGATACCAAACTATAATAAAACCCAATCTTAAGATCCCCAAAGAGATTCTTCATGGTTAGTTACTGGTAGTTCTCACCCATAGCATCTTTCAGGGCACAAGGCTATCGTTTACTACTCGTTAACTTACCATTTTCCATGGGGGGGGTCCATCTGTCTCAAAGGGTCGGTCATTTCTCCCTTCTCAGCAGTGAGACAGCGTGCAGCCTCTCCTCCAAGGGGCACCTCCCCTCATTTATAGCATCACAGAAAGGACCAGAAGGAAGCAAGAAATAACTGTGGCTATGTCATTCGATGTGTAAATCAGCAATGAGGAGAATAACAAATGTTGCACTTGTAATATATTATCATTAAAATAACAGCCATGGGGGCGCCTGGGTGGCTCAGTGGTTAAAGCCTCTGCCTTCAGCTCAGGTCATGATCTCAGGGTCCTGGGATCAAGTCCCGCATCGGGCTCTCTGCTCAGCGGGGAGCCTGCCTCCTCCTCTTTCTCTGCCTGCCTCTCTGCCTACTCGTCATCTATCTGTCAAATAAATTAAAAAAAAAAAAATAACAGCCATGTAAGAAATGTTTAGTGAGCACAATTAGGGCTAATTTGACCCGCCTCAATTGTTAAGTATGCACAAACTCAGGCCTAAGAGCCTAGAGGGAAACAAAATACTGAACAGGGTCATTAAGGCAAACACCATCTTTGAATGTCTATTTAACTTGATGGTAGTTTGTACAAATAAGGTGTGAAAATTTTATGTGTGAAGTATGATGAAGCTCATCTCCTACTTCCTTCTGCAGAAGGGCTAGAGAGTTCGCTATCCTTGTTAAAATTA